GGACTTCTTTTCTTAGAGAATGTGAAGTGTTTTCGCACTTTTGGATTTGTTCCTCTCACTGGTCAAAGGATCGACACAGGAGAGATGCGAAAAGAAGTTTTTTTTGTTATTAAAATTGTTATTATTATTATTATTATAATTATTATTATTATTATTGTGATATTGATTAGATCTATTATTATTATTATTATTGTAGTCATTATTATGCTTGCTTCAATAGTAAATAGTCATATATCTAAGTTTTTCACAATTATAGCAAGTTGGTGATTGAGTATTATTTTGTGATTGATTAAATACTCTTCTATTAGATGTATTATTTTGTCAATTGTTATTATTATTAATCAATAAATTTTCCAATTGACTAGTAAGAGCAGCTAATTATTGTGAAACTTGATTAAGATTATTTGGTTGTTGTAATATGATTGGAATATTTAAGAGATTAGTAGTTAGATTAACAGTTAATTCAGTAAATTGTTAATAACTAGATCCATATAGCTGAGCAGTGTGAATTATAGCATTCAAAATAATTGGTCTAGCAGGATTAATAAAGAATTTGATTTCTGATTTCAATCCTTCAACAAATAATATTACTTTTAGATATTCTGAATAAGTATTATCCGGATTAATTTGTCAGAGTAATTCTCAAATAGTAGCAGAATATTGTTCAACGCTTTCAGTAGGTAATTGTTTTCATTAATTTAATTGTTGTTATAATTCATAAATTTTATCAACAGTTCTAAATTGTTGTGTGAATTGAAAAGTAAATGAAGCAATTTGATCATTTATATTATTTGAAGTATTTGGATTTCATTGTATTGATCAATTTGGTACAGCTGATTTTTTATTGGCAAGCCATGTTCCAGCAACATCTTTTAAATATGTGCCAATAATTTGTTGTTTTCTCACATCAATCACATTGTCAGCTTGACATACAGTTTCAAAATCTTGTAATCATCTGATGGAATTTTGTGTATCACCATAGAAATCAACAATTTTTGTGAATAATGCTTCTCTTGCTGGTGAAACAGTGACAGTAGCTTGAGCTTGAATGATATTTATAAGATTGGTTGATCCAGTTATTATTTGGTTGAATTATAGGTCATCCATGATTAGTTTTGGTTGTTCTTCTTCACTGTTTTTTTCAATTATTTGAATTATTTGATCTTTTGAATCTTCTTCAATAACTTGTACTGTTGAATTATTTTGAATTATAATTTGATTTTTTGAATTTTGAAGTTCAATTATTTGTTCTCAAAGTCTTTGTTATCGACAAAATTGTTTTCATTATATTGTGAATATTTGGATATTTTGTTGTAAATGATACAAGTAAGTTTGAATTTCTTGTTTTTTTGTGATAAATAATATAATAATAGTTCTTCAAGCTGTTGAATTGGTTTACTGGTTGAATTTGCTAGATATGTTGTGACAAATACTTCTGTTAATTGATTTTTAATTTCTTTCAATTGTTGTTTATTTAGATTTTTTGATAAATTTATTTCATCTTTTAATTCTTTAAATAACTGATCAATTTCTATATTAGTTAATTGTGTTAGATCCAGTTTAATTATTTGAGTGATTCATTCACAAAGAATTCATTTATTAATTGATTTATTATTTTTGATGCTGTTTGAAACTTTTTTTTTAATATTGATGTCTTTGAAACTTTTCTTTCTACAAAGGAGATACCAAAAATTTGTTACCATTTTATTATGACTTTAGATTTTGTCACGAGAGTACACGTGATAGAATCAGATGGAAAAGTTAATATATTAAATAACTTTAAGTTGTGAGAGTTCACTAAGTTATCTAAAGGTAGGTAATATATGTTCATTTTGTTGGTCAGCTAGAATAAGACCAAAAAGATTCAAGATAATTATATTTTTTATAATTCAATTTATAATAAATAAAATATTCTTTTAAATTTGATTTATAAACAAGTAAAATGTAATTTTCTTTTATTAATTCAATATTATTATTGACTTCGCAATATAAATGAGAGATCAAATACAAGAATGTATGAGATAATATAACTTTGCAATAGTAATGAGAGATTATAAAACAAATACAAAAATAACTTCATAATTAAGATGAAAGGTTATGAAAATACTATCTAAAGGATTATTAAAAGAATAAAAACTAAATTTGAGTTGAATTAATTATTTTTCTAAGCTAAGATACAAGTTATATTTATAAGTATTTGATAATTATAAAATGATTATTTGGAATGATCATTCAGAATGTTTAAAATGATTATTTGGAATAATTATTCAGAATGTTTAAAATGATCATTTGGAATGATCATTCAGAGCACTTGAGATGATCAATTAGAATGATCATTTGGAATGATCATTTGAAGTGATCATGTGAAGCGATCATGTGAGATTAAAAATAATGCAGCAACTGTTGCAATGTGATGACAAATAAAGTATTATTTAGTTGCAATTAGTTACAGCTTATAAAATTTTGGAGTTGCAACAGGTGAAAAATAAGCATCACGTACTTGCTGTGCTATTTTTATGTAAGATAATCATTTGTAATTATGAAAATATCTAATCACAACAATATTTTATTCTTAATTATATTATATTTAATAATGTAATATCATTAATTAAATTACAAAATAAAATTTTTAAATTTTTATAATACTTAAATATATAAAATAATCTAATAATTTAGCTTTTTATTTTTAAAGTCAAAAAATTTATTTATATAAAATTAATTATTTTTTCAATTTATTAATTTTAAATTATAATATTTTGCAATTTAATATATAATTAAATCAAAATATTTAATTTGTTTAATTAATAATAATTACTTTTATAATAAATTATTAAAAATTCAGAAAAAAGTATAATAAAATAAATATAATAAAAAATAAAAATTTCTCTTTATAATAAAATTTTATTTTTATTAATAAAAATTTTTGTTTTTATTAAAATAAAACTAAGAATCTATATTTTAATTATTACTATTTTCAGAATTATTATCTATAATAATATTTTTGGAAAATAGCAAATAACTGTATTTATATGAAAAATCAAACTACTGAATTATCAAAACTTATAATTCAAATATCAAATAATAAAATAATAAAATAATATAACTTTAACAAGAAATTAATAAAATTCAAATAAAAAATTTCCTAAAGTATTAGTAATAATGATTTATACAAATATCAATATGATAACTATTAAAACTTTTCTGAAATATTAGTTAATAATAACTATATAAAAATATCAATATGAATATAAAAATAAATATAAATACTATCTTTCTTAAACCAACAACACAAAAATCAAAATAATATAATATTTTTTAAGTTAAGATATATATTACTTATATATTTATTTCTATCTCAAAAAGAACTAATTAAAATTTAATATATTCTCATATATTATAAATAATATACAATATTATTCTAATTTGCCAAGTGTTATATATTTAAATCTGGTATAACACATACTAAAATACTAAAATATTATTGATACTCCTTTACTATTATACAATAAAATTAATTAAATATAAAATAAACTTAATATAATACAAGATAATATCAATATAATAAAAAGAAAAATTAAATATATGAAAAGAATCAATTAAAATTTAGAAATAGAACACATACTAAATCTTAATAAAATGAGTTATATTAAGTATATATTACAACATAAATTTAATTTATAATAAAGAATCAATTAAAATATTTTAAATTAAATTCATAATAATCATTATTCTTTGTCAAATACTATTATTATATGAAAAAAATATTATTATTATAGATAAATGTTGAACTTTTCAATACTATGTTTACCTAATTAATTTTTTGTTTTAGTATATCAACAAATAGCTAAATAATATAATATATTATAATGATGATAATATATATTTTTATAAATTTTTAAATTTAATTTCAAGAATATTTTTAATTATAAATTTTAATTATAAAAATTTTATGTAATTAATTTTACAATCAGAAATTAAATTTAAAAAATTCTTAAAAATATATATTAAAATACAAATTCTTATTAATAAAAATAAAAATTTTATTATAAAAAAAATTTCGAATTTTATTATATTTTACTATGCTTTTTTTGGATTTTTGATAATTTATTATAGGAATATATAATTAATTTTTATACTTGTTTGATGTTTTTATAATACAATATTAAATAATATCTCAAAATTTAAATTTTATAAATTGGTTTTGATAATTTAATTGAATTATGAAATCCAAAAATTTTGTTTGTATAATCTTATATTAATATTTATAAAATATAAAAATAAATTTTCAATTATTTTATAATAATAAAATACAAAAAGATCCTTGTGTAAAATAAATTTTAGGGAAATATTCTCAGTTATTTGAAATGCTACAGTGTAGAATATTCTCAGTTATTAATTATTAGTGATATTATAATAATGGAACTTTAAAATCAAATCTCTCTTGGTTGTGATCATCTTTGCAGTATGTAATGTTGAAACAGGTATATGTCTCCGTGGGAAACTGCGGACAATGACTTTATTATGGATTCTTGAAAAGTTTAACTATAACGAGACTCGAATGTAAATTCAGCAATCGAAGTGCCTATCTTATGATTTGTAATCAAAGTTTTTTATTTTTTATTTTTCCCAGTTCGTAATGTTTAGATATCAACACTAATAATTAAGGTAACGTTCTCCTATGATCACCATCAGAGTAAGCAAAATAAACAGATCGGCCCAAAAACTTTTTACGAGTTTTCTTTTTGCATAATCAAGTATGTGTAAAAAGCAAATCAGGTTTAAATAACCAAGCCATTAATCTTGAATTCTAGATTTGCGAATAATTACTGTTCTTTGGATTATGATTAATGAATTAGATTATCATCAATTTAATTACTAAACCCATAACTTTTTGTCCCCGTACTTTTTCTTTATTCTCCGTAACCCTACCATTATACTTTCGATAGAATATTTATAAAAAATGGCCGAAGGTCCAGAAGGTCTACGTCTCACAGAATTCGTAAGGAGACCCGGTTTCGGCAAGGAAGGAAAACCTGTCCGCGTTAGAGCCAATTTCTTTGAAGTAACATCACTTCCAGAAAGCAACGTCATTCATTATGACGTGTCCATTACTCCCGAAGTGCCTCCTGCGCTGAATCGCAAAGTATACGAACAATTTGAAATCCATAATCGGAGTGGTGCCCTTGGTGGTGCTAGACCGGTTTATGACGGTAATAAACATATAAGTTCAACTCGAGAGTATTTATAAGAAATTTTTTTGAATATTATTTTATTAGTGTAACATACCACTGCATTTTATTGTTGACCTTTTTAGTTTTTAAAAGACAAGTTGTAACGTATTTTTACTAACATGTATCCGCATTATGAAAAGGCAAAAAAAATATGTACTCGCATAGGCCGTTGCCTTTCGGTGATGCAGCCGCCTTTGACGTTAGTATTTAAATCAAAGAATGTTTGATCTTGATCGATAAACATTTACAGCTTGAATTAAATGAATTACAGGTAACTCTGCCCGAGGATGCCAACATTCCCTCCGCAAAACGTAGTATTCGTGTATTCAAAATAAAGATTAGGAAAGCTGCGGAAATCAACATGGAACAGCTTCTTGCTTTCCTAAAAGGAAAAAATGAATCAACTGCTAACTGCTTGTCAGGTTAATTTAACAACTAATATTGATGTTTCATAGTATATTAATAGGCTTTATATTCTCAACTCTGATCTACCATTATCATTATTTAGGAATAATGGCTCTTGATGTGCTAATTAGGCATCGTCCATCAATGGAACATGCCACCAAAGGTCGTTCTTTTTTCACGCCTCAAGGCGCCCAACTCTTGTTTGGAGGTGTGGAGGTATGGCAGGGCTATTATCAATCAGCTCGTCCCACTCAAGGTATCTTGTCAGTGACTTGAATGATTCGTGGAAACACATCATTATAAATGGATCGTCTTAATTATATCTTTTGATGGAATATAAAGGTCGAATGCACATCAATATCGACCTTAGCGCCACGGCGTTTTACGAAGGTGGTAACTTAGTAACAAATGTTGTCAAGATGCTTGGAAAAAGATCTCCGGATGATCTTCGAAGAGGAATCAACGATAGAGATCGCGCGAAACTTGATAAATTGCTAAAGAATTTAAAGGTCAGAGTTGTGCATCGTGGCGAAGTCAATGCTAAGCGCCGATACCGTATCACAAAATTGACTCCGATGCCGGCAAATCAAACAAACTTTACGAGCAGCGAAAATGAAGTTACGGATGTGGCGAGTTACTTCTATAAGACTTATAATCGACGCTTAACTTTCCCAAATCTTCCTTGTGTGGTCGTCAGAAGAGAGGTGTTTCTTCCCATGGAAGTGTGCGAAGTGATCGAGGTAGTTTTTTTGTTGCTATGTAGTTTGTTATTTTTAGTCTTGTTCTGCTCGCTTAACTTAGATAATTTAAGTAATTGATAATGATGACAATTCTTAGGGACAAAGATATATTCGAAAGCTCAATGACAAGCAAACAGCGGATATGATCAAATTTACTTGTCAACCCCCACATCTTCGTGCAAATAAAATTCGACAGGGTCTGGATATTTTAAATTATCGCGAAAACGATTACATGAAACAATTTGGAATGAAAGTTTCAAACGAAATGACTGTGGTAAGTATATTATTATTCGGTTATATGCACTAACATGTTATCTTTTTTTAACCTTTTTTAACCTTTTTTAGGTTGCAGCCAGGGTACTTCCAGTTCCTTACCTGCAGTACCACCCCACTTCTCGAGAACCAAGCATTCAGCCAAAAGAGGGTGCTTGGAATCTTCGAGATAAAAAAGTCGCAACCGGAACTAAACTTGGTTCATGGGGCGTATTGGCCTATGGTCGAGAAAGCGAAATACCCATGCAATCAATAAGGAATTTCATTAGAGAACTCGTAGTGACATGCCAAGATACTGGAATGGTAAAATTATTCTCTTAACTACCATATTATGCAAATTATATCAGTAATGTTAAATGTCATATTGACCTTTATTCCTTCAAATAGAATATTCCCAATAACAACCCACCCATCATGCATGTTAACCCCCAGGGTGATGTTGAAGGGGACCTAAAAACTGCCTGGCTTCGCGCGGGAAATCTCGCTAAAGCACAACCTCAGTTGTTAGTATGCATCTTACCGAATACTGGCGTCCCTCTTTATGCAGAAATCAAGCGTGTCAGTGACACAGTTATAGGGGTCGCAACGCAATGTATTCAACAAAGACACATGATGCAAGCAAAAAAACAATATTGTGCAAATGTGTGTCTAAAAATGAATGTAAAACTTGGCGGAATGAATTCGTATTTGTTGCCGGAGCAAATTCCGTTTATCGCTGAGCGGCCCACCATTCTGATGGGTGCTGATGTCACACATCCTGGTCCTGGTAAATTATTTTACTTTATCAAAAAATAATTTTTTAATTATTTCTTTTTCAATTAATAATAATCAATATTACAGGTGACAACGTACGGCCATCAATAGCTGCTCTTTGTGCCTCCATGGATGCCAAAGCTTCTCGATACGCGGCCGCAATCCGAGTACAGAGCGGACGAGTTGAAATAATAGCAGATTTAGCTAACATGGTTAAAGAACTGCTCAGAACTTTCTATCAGACCTGTGGTAGAAAGCCTGAACGTATTCTATTCTATCGGGATGGTGTATCAGAAGGACAATTTCTTCAAGTATTGAATGATGAAATAATGAATATTCGAGGTAAAAATCGAAATATTAATTCAATCCTTGTATTTATCGGGAATAAAAGTGTCAATTTTCTTAATGATAGCGGCATGCCAAACCTTGGATGTTAATTATAAACCGACCATCACATTCGTCGTTGTACAAAAACGACATCACGCAAGATTCTTCCCAATGGAAAAACGGGATGCTGACCGTACTGGTAACTGCTTACCAGGAACAATAGTCGAAAGCCAAATAACGCATCCATTCGAATTCGATTTTTGTAAATATTTAATACCAATATTTAATACCAATATTTGTGTCATATAATAAATTATTAATTGCGATGTTTTTCGTTAATTTAGACTTGCAAAGTCATGCTGGTTTGCAAGGGACATCGAAACCAGCTCATTATCACGTCTTATATGACGAAAATAAATTCACTAGCGATTCGTAAGTATTATATTAATCGAGCTTTTCAATATTTTAAAAACTGAAACTTTTATGTTTCATTTATTAAATAACTTGATTTTTTTAGGTTACAAACGTTATCGTATAATTTATGTTATATATACGCTAGATGCACACGAGCCGTTTCTTTGGTATGTTGAGATTAACTTTTGCCCATTAGCCATTCCTAGATACTTAACTTGATAATCTTCGTTTTACTAGGTGCCACCTGTTTATTATGCAGATTTGGTCTGTAATCGAGCTCGCTTTCACTCACGTGGTGAGCATTGGTCGGACACAGAATCATCCGAGGAAGGAACAGGAGCAGCAGCTTCGTACGGGACTGTAAAACCAGAATTATCAAAGGTAATTAATCATATGTCTTTGATTTACGTTTGACACTTATTACCACTCTGTTAATTTAAAAATTTGTTTTTCTAGGTCATGTATTTCATGTGAGGTTATTCATAATATTGACGATAATCGGGTAATTTTAAAAAATTAGATATAAAGCAGCTATATAGTAACATCATTTATTTCTTAACAAACATTGAATTGATTAGATATGAATTATTAATTATCGCATTACTCAAAATAGTAATTTTTACAGTTAGGAATATGATAAGCCATTCTAAAATTTAAAGATTTTCTAATGTGAAGATTTAGAATATATTACAATTTAAAATATAATTCTGATCAAATTAATTAAAATTTTATAATTCTGACCAGGGCATGTAATTAGAAAATTATGTGATATATAAATAAAAATAGATTCCAAATTAATATGTATATATTAGCTAAGATTTTTTATTCAATTAAAATACTTAATTTTGTATTATTTAAAATAAAGCTTTATTTTTCATTCTCTAAAATATTAGCTAAAAAAATATCATTGTTTTTAGTGCAAAAATTCTAAATTTTATGAAAAATACATAGTGATTAATATAATTATAAAATTATATAAAACTTTATTAATAAAATATAATAAAAATAAAATTTTTGTTTTATAAAAAATTTTAAATATTATTAATAAATATTTTTTATTTTTATATTAAAGTAAATATTATAATTTATATTTAACTATTATTATAAAAAATTTTTTATAATAACTTTATAATTAAAATAATATAAATATAATAATTAAAAAAATTATAAAATTATATATATAATTTTATTAATAACTATAATAAAAATTGTAATTTTTGTTTTATATAAAAGTTTTCAATTTTATTAATAAATATTTTTTATTTTTATATCAAAATAAAGATTATAATTTAT